ATTTTCTGTATACATTCATCTTTTGATGGGCATTTAAATTGATTCAATATTTTTAGCTATTGTGAATAGTGTTGTAATAAATATGGGAATGCAGGATTTATTGTGCTGACTTTCTTTCCTTTGAAAATATATCCAAAAGTGAAATAGCTGGATCATACAGTAGATCACTTTTTAGTTTTTGGGGGAACCTCTGTACCACACTCTGTTATGGTTGTATTACATTCCCATCAACAGTGCATGACGAGTTCCTTTAACTCTTCATCCTTGCTAGCATTTGTTATTTTTTGATAAAATAGCCATTCTAACTGGAGTGAGATGATGTAATTGTATTGACTTGCATTTGCTACTAGCTAATGATATTGAGCATTGAAAACATATACATTTTATGCACTTGTACTTCTTATTTAGATCATTTGTCCATTTTATTTGGATTACTTGTCTTTTTTTAAAAAAGTTTTTCCAGTTCTTTACATATTCTGGATATTAAACCTTTGTCTTTTTGGATATGACTCCCAAAGCAAAAATAGGCAAATGGGATTATATTAAACTAAGAAATGTCTGCACAGCAAAGGAAACAATAAAAAAAATGAAGAGTACCATACAAAGTGGAGAAAATATTGGCCAACTACTAATGTGACATAAAAATTCCTACTAGATAAAAATACTGGAGATTAAGACGAAAGCTAAAATGACCAGATAGATTTCTTAAGTGCTTTAAGTTCCATATAAGACAGTAAAATAAAGAGATGAATTACCTTTTCAAAGCCACAGTAATGACGTAACTATAATCAGAGATATAAATATATTTCACTGTAAAACTGTGGTATAATTTTGTTTTCACATTCTAAACAAAGAACTGTTTCTTCTACAAAATTCTTTATTTTTACAGCTTGCCTCTAGAACATTTCTAGTCTTATTTGAAGTCTTATTTCAATCTGAAACATAACTGGCAGCAAAGGAAAAAGGACATCCAATCATATGTAGATACGTTTTGATTATAAAAATACAGTGTTTCAGAAAGTCATGGTAGATTTTCTGCTGATCCTTATTTGCTATAGTTTATTCAAATCATAGGAAGAACATCTTCCTCCTCACATTAGTTCATTAACCGAATAAGGAAGGGGTTCTGTATTATCATGACTTTTGTTGGAAATAGTAGCCAAATTTTTACTTTTGTTCATTTTTTTTCCCTTGGTGCTGTATATCCAAGAGGCATTCACAATATGATGATGCTGATTCTGATCTGTTTTCTTCTGTGATTTGAAAAAATAATCCTTTTCCCCCATTACCTATGGGGGAAAAATAAGAACTAAGATACATCATGTTCAGGTACAAACACCCAATGATAAATGTAAATATACTGTATATCTAAAATGTACCAATTAATATATAAATTTAAAAAATCCTTTTACATGATTCCTACTCTTTATTCCAAAAAAGGAAAATGATTTCTATGCTCTGAGAGATGAAAGTCATTGTTCTACAGGATTCTGTGTATCAATATCTAGAAGGTATGTCATATTCTGTGGAATCAATGCACAGATTTATACTGTGCCAAGCACAACACTTGGTTGAGAAAATTCTGTGCACAGTTTTCCAACCCAAAGTATCACTATAGATCCTTCATCTACAAGGAAATCATCCCTGCTAAACTTCTCCAATGGAAGCTAAAAGAGGGCTGTGTCATGGTTCTATCACTGCTGAACACACTCTCATCTGAGAGGTTGCCAGTTCTATACACACTGGGATAAGTTGTGAGCATAAGGTAAACTAGGGCTGAGTTTTCACTTGACACATAGCAAAACTATGTTTATCTAGACTACATTTGTCCCAATCTGACATAATTTCTGGGTAATGAAAGTCAATACAAGGAGAGAAAAGCCATAAATAAAAAGGAACCATAAATCTATACTCCCAGTTACTTAGGATTGAAGAAGAATAGCTGAATGTGCATCTAAAACGGCACTGAATGGGGCATCTCCAGCATTATGAAGGCTGGTGAGTAACACAATTGTCAACAGCCACATTAGCCAATAGCCCTGATATTGCTTGACTATCAGTGCCAAGAAAGATTTCATTCAGAGTTGAAACTAATGAAAACGCAAACAACAGACATGAATTCTTTGTTCACTTTTGATAGACGTATACAAGAATGTTGGCTGAAAGGAAACTACGAGTACCAGTAAGAGTGTCCTTAATGACATCTCTTCAGCATATCCAGTAACTCTGATGTTAGTGGACAATGGCAGTAAGTCTACTGACTGAACAAAACCTTTGGTGTACAGAATCCACAAGGTTAGCCTCAAAGCAGTCTTCCAAGAGAGGTAATGCTGTAGTTCTTTCCGCAACTTCTGTACTTGAGCTTCAGTGTGTTGATGACAATAAAAGAGATAGCTATAGACACCATTTGTTGAATACATAGAAATGCAGCCCCGAGAAGTCAAATCATAGTATTGTCTAATAAGAAGGAACAATGGCTATGTGCCTGGCAGAAGTATCTAAGGCTAATTTTCCTATAGAAGTGGTGTGATGGAAAATGTATTTTCTTACAGATGGTCTTGGGTTGTGTTTCTCCTGTGGTTTCAGAACTCTTATGCCAAAAGTTAAGAAATGTTTTCTAGATAGACATTCAACCACAACTTGAGGATAAGAGCTTAAAGGCAGACCAAAATACAGAGCCCAGGGAACTCCGGGTCTCCAGTGTTTCAGTAAATGTTTCTAGCAAAGTGTTCCATAATTTTGGACGTACTCTTTGCTTTCATATATATTTACTACTGCGTTCTCTGACACAGTTATAAAACATCTTTGATATCTGAAACTCTAGCAGCATAGGCTAAGACACTTTTTAGAGGACTACAGAAAAGGATTGCACTTTCAACTCTTACAAAGCCAATTTTCATTCCAGTGTTACCAGGAAGCCTTACATTCTAAAGGATCCATAAACTCAACAGTACATTCTTGTTTTAGACAAGATCTCCCTTTACACTGCAGACTAGCCTTGAACTCACTATGTAGCCCAGCCTGGCCACAGAGATCCTCCGCCCTCAGCCTCTTGAGTGCTTGGATTGGGTTGCACCACTATGTCTGGTTCAACAGTCTATTTTAAACTTCAATTCTTCCATGAAGTTTTCCATGAATTCTGTTCAAAGAGTTGTGCTGGAATTATTCAGGAATGTCACTGACTTGGTAACATGAATTACATTTCCTGATTTTTTTTAAAATGTGATTTTAAAATAAGGGTTTGAATATCCCTTATCAAAAATGTTTGTGGCCAGAAATGTTTTGGATTTCAGATATGTCTGGATTTTAGAATGTTTGCATATATGTAATGAGATACTTTGGGATGAGAAACAAATCTAAATACAAAATGCGTTTATGTCTCATATACGTTTTATATATGTCTAAATAATCTGAAGTGCTTCCTTGAGAATGCTGAGTAAGTTGTGTTGTACATCCTGCATTTTGACTGCAGCCCATCACATGAGGTTAGGTGTGGAATTTTCTACTTATAGTATCATCTCAAATTTTTGAATTTGGAGCTTTTTGAGTTTTCTGATACAACTTGTATTATTTTTCTCATTGCTCAGAGTAGATGTAACTATATTCAACGTTACTTTGAAAGTTTAAAAATAGCTATCCATTGTGTGTGGGTGTGAATATACTTACAATGTAGAAGCAAAATGACCAGAGGCCACTATTTTTCTTCCTTTTGCGAAAAATAAATGATATTACATATGTCAAGAAGGTGAGAGAAACTGCATAACCAAGAGAAGTAGCAACCTGAAGATAATATAAATAATATCATAGTCAAAGAATGAAATACTATTTGAGGGAAATATTTTAAAATTTTATTGTACATGGCCTTTGCATGGGCTTTTTGCAAATGAAATTATATTGATGATATAAAATAGTACTGTTAAAAGGTATTATTATTGTTATCATTATGTATATCTAAAATATACCAATAAATATATTGTTTAAAAATATAAAGATATTTGGAGATTTACACCAAAATAAATTTTGGTCTATGTAATGTGTTACTTACCATAGCAAATATGGTTCGAATTCCAATATAAATTTCTGTTGTTCTTGTCAGGAGAACAATTAAATACATCAAGAGGAGAATTAAATTGAAGAGGTTAACATCCACCACCGCCAGCCCAAACCAGTAAGCAGAAGGGTGGAGGCCTGAAATCCATAGCTGGGACTTAGACTTCTTCTGATGAGAAAACACAGGGTATACACAGATTCAATTAAAATGCAAGCCCAAAAACAAACACACTGGGAGAATTTTCAAGATAAGTATAATCTAATATTTTAATATTCTAATAATATTTTTTTAGGAACCTGCACTCTACAGATCCAGTTCTATTTTTAAAAATGTATATTTTTATTTGGTAGTTTTTATTCACAATACCACTTTAATGAATAATGAATAGAAGACACATAATATTGATCAGTGCATAAAGTTCCTTCAAAACAAATGTTGTTTTGTGACCTGAAGAACATGTAAATTTTTCTTTTGTCTATACATCTTCTCAGAGAGTTATTGGCTCAGGATGTTGAAAGCGGACTTATCTAAATCTGTTGTGACTGGATAATGGGCATAACCAAACACAAGTTCATCATGAAATTGCAATATCCAGAGTGCAAAGCTAATCCAAGTCTTATATGTGGTCTCCAATTTCAACCTTAATGATTTCCTCCTTGTACTTAGGAAATAATATAGTAAAAATTTATATTTTCCTTTGAGTTGAGCAATTATCTGACTGTTTCTGTAACTTTGAAGTGAAAAGTATTTTTCCATTTTTAAAAGTAAATTTTCTGACTTGTTAGTAGGAAAATGGATGCACCTTAAGACCATAATGTTAAGTGAAATAAATCAGATACATCAACTTAAATATTGCATAGTTTTTTATATGAGAAATCCAAATTATAAATAAAGACCAAAATAAAAGAAAGATAATAGAAAGTAAGGAGATAGCTTTTTCTCAAATGGGAAGAGGGAGAAAGAGATGGAGGGAGATAGAGAAAAGGGAAGGGAAGGAGATGAAAAAAGGAATTAAGATGTGTTATATACATGTACCAACTCCATACAAGTGGTGCAAACATTGTGTACTGCAAACACGTACTGATAAAAACTTAAAATTTAAATTATAAACGTGTGTACATGAATCAAAAAAGAAATAATGCTTAACTGTGTTATTCAAATTATAAATATATTTAAGTATTTTTCTCAGAGGAAAGTGTTTTTAACACATAGCATTAAAAATACAATTACTGAAATTCCTGAAGATTCTTTTCTTCTTCTCCCCCACCCTCCACCTTTTTCTTACTTTGTAATCACTGACACTGCTCATGGCGATGTAAGGAGAAATGCTGCATACAACAAAAAATAAGAAAGAAGAACTTTCTGGCAGCCCAGTCCAGTCTATAAAGGTGTTCTGCAAATATAAAAGGGACTTTAAACTAGTGAATATTTTAAATGCAATACTAATAATTATAAATAATATGCTTTTGGAACTTAGAAAATTCAAAGTATACATATAGTTCATCAACAGCTATAAGAAGAAATGATTTCTTATTTAACATGAGGCTTCAATTCAAAGAACAAGGAAATGTCAAAAATAATTCAGAACATACTTTTGGGTATATATCCAAAAGATCTGAAAATATAGATTTTTGGCGTTGGTTTGTTTGAGGCAAGATCTCACTGAGTAGTTCAGGCTGGCCTTGAACTTACTAAGTAACGCATGCTGGCCTTGCATTTGCAGCAATCCTCCTGCCTCAGTCTTCCCAGTGCTGAGATTACAGTTGTGTGTTACCACACCCAGCTTGAAAGCTATCTGCACATCCATGTTCATAGCATCATCACTCACAACAGTTAGGAGGTAGAAACAACCCAGTGTTCATCAGTGGATGAATGAATAAACAAAACATGGTGTATATTTACATACAATAAGATATTACTCAGTTTTTAAAAGTAAAAAAAAATTCTGTCACGTGCTACAACACCGATGAACCTGGAGGACATTATGATAAGTGAAATAGACCAATCAAAAAAGACAAGTATTATATGATTCCACTTATGTAAGATAGCTAAAGAGGTCAAATTTCTGGAAGGAAAATGTGAGTCCGTGGTTACCAGCAGGAGAAGTATGAGGGAAATAGAATTGTTTAATGAGTACAGTTTTACTTCTATAAGATGAACAAACTCTGGAGATCCACCTCACAAGTTAAATATATGACTTCTACTCTGATAAATGGTTGTGACAGTGAATTTTGTTATATGTTTTTACTAGGATAAAAAATAATAATTCAGAAGTTAGGACTTTTGTTTAAGAGATAAGTCAGGCCCATACAGCATGTCTTTTTCTGCAAACTAGAGAGTGATATGTGGGTGGTTAGAGGTACTGTGTGGTATAGAGCTAAAAAGGAAACTTGATTCTGTTGAGTCCAACTTCAAGGAGATAAAATTTAAATCACTGTCTGCCTCAGGCTGGGCCCAAGCCCAAGCAGTGTACAGAACCAGCTCACATTATAGGAAAGCAACACAAATTTGTCTTGAAATAACTGTAAACTCTCAAATTTTATTTAAGAGTTTTGAGTCGATATAACTTTTTGTCTAAGTGGTAAAATGAGTTACTGTCATTATAAGAACAAAGGTGTGTGCCACTGCAATGGGCAGTGCCTAAGAGAGTAGCTATGGAACCTTGGTCCATTTTGATCTGGAATAAACAGGCAATGATATGGGAAAACTAAAAACCAAGAAGAAATAAAAACTCTCTTTCTGGTACCTGCTGGTTCCACTTTCTGGAGAGGTCCCTTCAGACACCATTTTATTCTGAACCATCTGTGCTCTCTCTCATCACATGGTCAGTCATGCTTCAACTCAGAGGTGTATATATCTATCACTGACCTCTCAAGTATATTCCAGCCCTATTTTCTCCCTTACATGCAAAAAATCTGCACTTGCACATACTACCAACACCACTGATACAATGAAGCCGAAACTGAATTTGACACGTGTCACAAAAAGGGCTTCCCTTTTGACAGATCCATTTTTAATCTTGCTTCCTGCTCTTCCAAGGTTCTGGTGTGAAATATTTGTAGTCAACTTTGAGATAACCCCCTTGGTATCAACTAGAAAATGATCACCTAATAAACTTAAAAACAGAATAATGAAATGGTTACATGGGTGAAGCTCATGCAACAATCATGATGAACTTGAAAGCCACCATCATATACCTGAGCTAGAGGGACAAAAAGGAAGGGGATGATATGACTGGAACCCGGTGCGGAGGGCCCCTCTGCTCTTCTGTATCCCATCACTCTTTGCTATTGTCTAGCTGGAAAAAGCCAGATTGTAGCCAGAATCCCAAAAATGCAGCCTGTATCTGATATCCTTTCAATGCAGTATAAGTATAGGTAGGTAAAGGGATGAATCAGGTAACAAACAGCCCCAGGAGTGGCAAATTTCAATCTTCTACCCATTCAGTCAGTGGTGTATGCACACACACACACACACGCTTTCACAATCAAGTATGTATATAAACTTCTTAGAACATCCCTTAGAAGAATATGACACAATATTGAAGAGTACTAGCCCAGAAGGATTCTATTCGCAAGAAAAAATTTTATCACCTGTTTAAAATGTCAAGACACAATAATAATTTTAGGATTAACATTCAACTTTGAATATCCAAAAGCTAAAGAGAGCAAATATAAGGTACTTGTGAAATTTTTAATTGTTCAGAATCAGTAAGTTTAATACTTGCCAAAGAAAATGGACTTCTCTCAATGCGAATATACTGTGTTTGATTAAACATTCGAAGTAGCCCATTGCTGATAATATTAGTAAGGATGGGAAAACAGTGCAGTCTCTTGGTATTGCACACAAGTGAAAATCTATAATCCTAAAAACCAATAAAACAAGTGATGTTAATTCTAAATGTTTGAAACACAAAAGGAAGGTTTTTATACATAAGATTCTAAGAGTGCCACATTCTAGCTATGTGTCCATCTTCAAGCTAACTACATTTGCTGAGCTTCAGGTGAATCATGTGTGAAAGAAGATACTAAATGGGTTGTAATATGGTTTTAAAGAGATTATATATATCAGGCCATGTACAGTTGATATTACAGAGTCAGCATCCACTTAATACAAATTAGTATTAGTATTACTAATTTTATATCATTTTGTTCCTATGGTAAGCAAACAAAGGAATGCTGATCTTCTAGATAGAAGATAAACATGGAGTCTCTAATGTATGCATAGTTAGCCTGCCGCTGAAGAATCTGTATGCTTTCTAAAATAATGTATCTATAATGTTCATAAAAATATCCATACATTCAAGAGGTTCAATATTGTTTACATATTACCAGTAGTTCACATAGTAAATATGGTAGAAGACACCTACCAAAGTAGTTTTCCACAGGTGACACAATTTTATTACATTTTTCATAATATATTTAGTTTAGGCAAAATTGAGTTTCATGATACATCTTCAAAGGTTTGTTCTATTTTTTTATTTCCCTTGTAGCAATAAGTGAAGAGGTAGTTTTATGTAATAGCCCTTCACTTTTAATGTAATGTAAATAAGATCAACTTGAGATTAGAATGTATTTTGAATAGTTTTTTCCTAGATGCATCTCTATGTCTTGGACACTTTTAAACAACTTGAAATAAGGTGACACATGGAGAATACTTTCCTCTCAGAAGTTTCATGTGAATGTCATATTATTTACTATATTTTCTCAATGTATAAAAACATTCAGGTAGTTAGCAATTAAATAGGACTCTTTAAATTCATAATTGCATTTATAAGCTGTAATAGTTTATTGAGATCAAATATAGTTAAATTCACTTCTTTCAAATTTAAAAAAGATCTAATTCAAAAAAAGATAGAAAATGTTTCACAAAAATGTATTTAAGCTTCAGCCTATTCAATATGGCCTCAAAATGATTTTCTGAATCAGGTTGCTATATACAAGCTAGGCTGACTTTCTGCAGTTCTAGGCTGATTTTCTGCAGTTTTGAAACCAGTTAAAATGTAGAAATATTTTAATGTGTTCTGTGTGTGTGTGTGGTCATAAAAGCAAAAAACAAGAGACAAACACACCTTTGGTCTACCAGAAACTATGATAGCTCCATTGTACGAGAGGCTTTCAGTGCCATTTCTGTTTTCGAAGTCATCTACTTCCAGAAGTATATTTTGATGCTTCAGTGATTGTACAAAGTCTTCAATATCTGATTCTAGTACAAAGTCAATAACAGAAGACCACATAAAAACAAGAAAATATGTGCCAATATTTTTTCTAATGAGCCCATACATAATTCTAAGTTGATATTTATATTATACAAATGTTTCCACGGACATCGCAATTATAATAGTCCATGAAGAAAAAAATCGCTAACTCTACCATTTTCTATTCTGCAAATCTTATGATATGATGAATTACATTTATACTTACGTTTAATGCAAGCTAACATGTGATCATTTAAACAAGGTAATTCTATTTTATGGCCATTATTATTTGAAATGATAATTATAGAAATACAATAATTATATGAGGATTACTTCACATTTTTAATCCTGATGATAACACTCTCCTCTCTATTCTTTCAGATAATAGGAAAATAAATATATATGTACAATACACAAATATATTTTACTTTATTTTATATATATGAATGTATATTGCATATGTATATGTTTCATAAATATATTTTTCTTAGAAAATGGAAAGTGAAAATGATGCTGCCATCAAACCAAAATTTTTATGTCTATCTAAAGAAGAAAGTACATGAAATTCAGAGTGAAATAAGAGCTGAGAAAAACTCAGCCTAGAGCACACAGGAGCAAATAACTACAAAGGTAAATTTCCAAAAGATACCAAAACTCAGAGTGGATTAATGCAAGGGAGTGACTTATGGCTCTGAAGCCATAGTCAGAGTCTCTACATCTGGAACAAGCTGAATAGTCAGGTCCCCTCCATGCCTCACTCAGTGAGTGACAACAGCTGCACTTTTCCGCCAGGTAAGAATCTCATTTCTACTTTCTAAGAGGCACTTTGTGAAACAATCAGCAGGGCAAGACCTGAAGTAACTCCAGATAATAATCAGGGAAATATGGAATGGAAAAATGTAAAGAAAAACTCTTTCTCTCTCACAGCTTTTGAAATGAGAGTTCATTCTGAGTATGTACAAAGTAGGCTCTGGAATTGGACAAATAGGACTAAACTTAAGACACATTAGGATTTCCCCCAGGTTCAATGGACATACACATAGAAAATAAGTTATCCATGTACTCTGCATCAACTACACATGCCACTCCATCTCCATCACAGGGTAAAATAACGGTGACTTGTATTCACCCAAACAGGAATTCTCAAATGAAAAGACAAACATTTTACCAATCAATAATAATGGTTCTGAAAGTCATATCACTAATAATACTTGCCAACTTGGGTGTACACAAAGCTTCTCACATCCTTTTATTAAAAGGTCAATCCACATCAAGCACATGTGGATGTTTGAGGGTGAGGCTATAATACAGAATGCATAAACTGTCCCCAGGAAATTTGAAATGATACAGGTGCTGGATGGAATTTTTTTCCTATTCCATAGCTGTGTTCAGTAGGCCTACTGCTTGAATAAATCAAATGTCTAATCAATAAATTATTTTCATGCTCAGAAACAAAAAAAATCATTAGATTTTGAGGGCCAGGATTTAGCTCCGTGTTCCCACCTCCTGCCTTACAAGCTCAAGGTCCCAAGTTCGTTCCCTGGTACCAAAAATAAGAAAAAAAAATCATTAGATTTTGAGAAAAGAGGACCAAGATGGCACAGAATCCTCAAACTTCGATCTCAAAATACTGAACAAATGAGTATAAAAAAAACTATGAGAGAATTCAAGTTCATTGTCCTCACTGTAACTAGAGAGTAAAAAACAAACAAACAAACCAACAATACCATGAGACAAGCTGAAAGGTAAAGAAACAATCTAAATCTTGGAAATGAATGTGCAATTAGCAAGACTTTCAGTTTTAAGGCAGCAGGGAAATCTACTTTCCAAAAACCCAAATGAAAAACAATAAGCATAACAAGAAATAGAAATGAAAATATTATGCCATGTTTGATTAAATAAGAGACATCTACAACCGAGTATCACATATACATGTGAAAAACTGAAAGGACAAGGAACTCATCAAAAGAGAAATCCTACTGTGCATTTTTATAAATGTCTTAGGTAGAAACAAAACTTCTCTTTCAAGTCAATTAAATAGTCATAAAATATTCAATTACCCATTCTTTGGGATAACAAGATAAAGAGCCTTCCTGAATCCTGTTACTTCACAGAGGTTCATGGATTGTAGAAAGGAAAACTTAGATGTCAATCAGTGGTTATAATATCTATGGTATAGATTAGACTATCATTGTAGCAAAGAAGTTGAAAATAAAGTGGTCCAGTTAAGATAGAGGTTTATTTCTCTTTCGTATAATAGTGTAGCATTATCAGGTAGAGATTGTATAGTGGCCTGAGTTCCTTCTTTCTTACTCCCCACCATCCCTGAGATCTCCAAAATCAGAGAAAATATGCACAGTTTCTCATAAGCTGTTTTCTATAAATCTACATTTTATTCTTTTGCAACTTGTTTTTCCCTCAACATGTGCTATTTAACATTGAAAATAATCTATTTCTGGTTTTCTGTTCACCTGTGTGATTGATGATCAACAGGCTGGTACGGAGGTCCTGAGGAAGTTGTCCAGGAGACAGGAAATACAATTCTGTTTTAAATTCCCAGTCGACAGTTTGCACTATCATAGAATATGCTATTTTTTCCATAATCAAAGGGAATAAAGCCATTCCAAATATCAATAGCCTAAACAATAAAAAATTACTTTATGAATCTACAGCAATTTTATTTCTTCAATCTGACACCTCGTAATAGTTTTAGCATAAAATCTACTTTATACGAACTACACTTCTAGTTATTAAAATTCTTAAAGTCATATCCAACATGCTACATGGGATTAAAAGGAATTACTACAAAAACAAAATAGCAAACTGTTAACAATAAACACACCTGCATGCAGAAGCCCAATCAGGGCTAACAAACAGGTGTTCCTGCTATCAGTGAAATCAATTTTTTCATTTATCTGTCCTCTGGTACAAATTCTGGGTACTGTATTCTAGTTTTAAATCTCTTCTGGCTTGAAGATCTTTTGAATCTCACCATCTAACAAAATCACAGTACTCACAGGGTCAAAAGTGTTTTTCTTCCACGTATTAACTTTAAGAAACGAAGCCGTGCTATTGCACAGACCTGCATGCTCCAAAGGTCCATGTCACCCACAGGTGTCTGTACTTCATGGAGAGAAGAGCAAGCTGGCTCTACTTCATTGGGGCTTTCTGAGTCGTTCACCATTTCTACATGTTCCAATTCTATGTGCACATACACACATATTAGTAATGGCATCCTGTGGCACCATAGATATTTTTAAATATTAAAAATTATTTTACATTTGATTTTATGCTTATAACCAGATTCAAAGGAATCTTTTAAACAGAAATTTTTAGTATTGATTAAGTTTAGAGCTCACCACTGCTTTAATATTTTCTTTATATTATGTTATGTCTTATAATTGTGAATGGTGATACCTATTAAAACTTTTAAATTAAAAATTTTTGTATTATAACCATAAAAATATCTGTGATTACAATTCAGAAAGTATAAGAAACATAATAGTGTTCAAATTCTATAAGCTCAGCGAGAAAGTGTACTAAATTCATACCAAAGAAGAATTCAGACAAAGGGTGTTTTTTTCTATGCCTTTTAGAAAGGAAAAGTCTCAATGTAACAATATTCTAAGGGGTTTCAAAAACATTCTCCTTAGGAATAGTTAATCATTAATGTCCAAATACGTACTACTGAGGTATCAATAACCTAGTATTGCAGGCAAAAAATCATTATTTCTGAAACAAACAGACCTGCAAATGAATCCCACATTCATAACTTACATAGGCAACATGATTTGGATCTTAGCTCTGGTTTTCCCAGCTATAAAATGAAGCCAATGACACTTGTTGGAAAAGGTATTTACTGAAGGAAGGTACTGTCACAAGTGAATATCAATATATAGTAATATATTTATCAAAGTATCTAGCAGAACTCCAAAAATGACAGCTTTTATTATTATCACTCATTAAAATACTAATATCCTCTCCATTTATGCCTTAATGGATTTTTTGTATTAACAATCTAAGATCAATTTTTATAAGAAACTCATGCCTCTAAGAACTTCCACAGCCTCAGAAAGTCCAAGGAGTGAGCACTTGAAGATAGGAAAAATCTGCTAAAACAGGGAGAAGATAGTTTCCAAAAAGGAATTTGGTAGATTCCAAGAAGGGATGTGTGCTTAGACCTACTGATGATGTCAAGCCCCTCCCAAACATCAAAGTCAAATTTGGAGTGAATCATATTCCTTAGTGTGAATCATACCTAAGAAATTATAAATAATGAATGGACACATGATGATTTGGAAATTGATTTTTGTGAATTATACAAATGGTTTTACCTTGCTTGGTAGTCAGTTTTCCCTCCACATTCATGAAGACTTCTTTCAGGGTTGACATGGAGATATCATAACTCATCATACCCTGGCCAGAATACTTATCAAGATCCCTGAAGAGGTCTAAAACAAAAGACAGGAATTTACACATTTAAGAAAATAATATCAATTACTAAGCCCAGTAAGTCAACACTTATGTGAAAGACGAAGCATAACACTGTACAGAAAATTTTGTCTTTGCAACGTCACAGTAATCAAAAGCAAAACTTCATTAGAATGTTCTCACTCTCTGAAGTGACTTTCAAATTCTTTCTTCAAATTAGCTAACTCCACCTCCTATTTTTAGATTATGAATTTCCTAGTCTTTGGGGAAAATATGAGGATCAGAAATACCATCATCTTTTCATCTCATCTCCACTCTAAAAGTCCATGTGTACCTCGACCCACATGCTGGGTCTGTATGGTGCAAGACATGCGGCTGCTTCTAATAAAGCTTATACCCTTAAGTTCTGCCTTCTACCCATCCCTTCTGAGCCCATCAAAGACTTCCTTTCCCCTCCCATATCATCGGTTTCTTCCACATCTATTGAGTCATCTCAAACAACGGGCAGAACGCTATAATATTTATTAAACAAATATAAATAAAACCAACAAAGCACAGTCATTTTATCATATCCCTCTTCACATGCATATATGGCTCCAAAGTTTTATTTACCTTTAATTTGTCACATCCTATTCACACTTAACTCCTGAAAGTCCAAATGCTATTCATATCCCATATATATATGTGCAGTTTCTATACTGGAGATTGAGCCCAAGGCCTTTGCACACAACACTGAGCTACAAATCCAGCCTTTTCTTTATTTTTAATGTGGAGGCAGTCTTGCTAAGTCACTAAACTACCTGGTTGGGCTCAAACTTTCAATCCTCCTGTCTCAGCCTGCCATAGTGCTGAAATTACAGGCTTACAAGTTTATTAAGTTCACGTTCAGAATAAAACAGCAGGCTAAAAAGTTAATGTTCCTGGGTATATCCCTTAACCAGTGATGGATCGAGAGCAGTAAGTGACCCCTTCCCTCCATGACAGAACTCTGAGAACACTTACTTAGTCTTTTATTCCCCCTTAGTCCCATTTTACTTAAATCTCCCACCACAATAAGCTGCTGAATAATGCAAACTTCCCCATCTTCCTTCCCTCCCCTGTCTCTTTGTTGATTGCTAGTGAATCCAGGGATCAATTACCAAATAAATTCAGTGCACTCAAGTCCTTCTCTCACATTCTGCTTCTCTGATAAATCAAACTAAGACAAAATCCAAATCTATTAAACAATGAAAATTATAAATCAATGTGAACATTTAATCTCAACTTTTATTTCTTTGTATTCACATTCAAGTTACCTGGAAATTTATTTGTCCTTTCTGAAGGCAAAGTATACACAAGCTTTTCTTTGTTTTCTGTTTTCAATTTAGCATCAGGGATGTGGTAATTAATGAAGGATGTTATTTGCTCTGGATCACATATTTCATTCCTATAGAAACTAACATTTAAAACAAAAGGCAAATTATTTGCATTTTCTCCATTCTGCCCACTATTTTTATAAAACAGACTTTGAGTACTACTTCACTTGGGTTTTGTGAAACAAGCAAAATGAGTATTATGGTTAGGAGGACATTATGAAATGTCCTCCCAAAGATAATGTGTGGAAGGCTTGATGAGCGCAGCAGCCGTGTTCAGAGGTGAAGCCTTTGGAAGACAATTGGATCATGACAGCTTTACCTTCATCAGTGGGTTAATTCATTGATGGATTCTGAATGAGCTATTGAGAGGTGTGGAAATGTTGAGAGGCAGCCCTAGTTAGAGAAACAGGTGGCTGGGAGAGTGTCATGGAAGCATGTATTTTGTCCCAAGCCCCTTGATCCATCACGCTCTGCTTCCTGGCCACCAGGAGGTGATCAATTTTGCTCCCCTGCACACTCCCCACCAGGGAGTTCTGCTTCACCACAGGCCCACAAACAATGGAGCCAAGCAACCACAGGCTGAAACCTCTGAAAGTGGGAGCCACAATAAATCCTTTCTCTTGTAAGCTGATTTTCTTGGGGGCTTTGTCACAGCAGTAAAAAGCTAACACAATGAGTAACTAACAATAATCCAATTTAAAAATGTTATTTATATACAGAAACTGGATATAGTCAGAAAAACTGAAAACACAAAGACTTCTTGTGATTAAAACTATATACCACATATAAGAATAGAAGGAGATGAGAACATGAGACAGAATAGGCTTTTAAGGGAAATAATCACAACTATCAGAAATTACGGGATAATACAGAAATTTGGCCCACATCCATGCTTTGTTTTTTAAAAATCTTCTTTAGCCTGGACATACAGTTTCTTGTTAAACACAAATCTCACCACTCTTTGAAAACAATTTATTCTCTGTTGATACTAGCTTGTGAAAATATTTGCCTTTGAGCCCTATGAAAATATACTACAAGATTGTATGGATAAATTGAGAACAATGGAGAGTAGGAAGAAAGTTTAGGCTGTACAGAAAAGCAACCTGGAAAAGTGACATGAAGTGGTCCTGCTATGAAGAGTCAGGCTTGGCTTATCATGTTGTGATGTTGCTCATCACTAACATTAATAAAGATAAAATAGGCTGGAAAGTAAGAAATATGTTTGGGAAACACTTATAAATCCAGTATAACAGAGATGAAGTATGAGACCAGTTCTCTTTCTTAATTGTCTATCTTTTTAACATACCACTATTGACAACATACACATTCTGTCTTTTCCTGAAGTCTTTACCTTAAATGATATCCAAGACCCCATTTTCTCTTCAAAAATACAGAAGAGCCCGCACACTTCAATCTGCCATTGGAAAAGATTACTTTTCTATCTGAGTAAAAAAGAAGGAAATGAGCAAAAATATTAGGAGTCATTTCTTCTCTTTCTAGAAAATATAAATGAGAAATTAAAGCTCAGAATTCCAAAGAAGTGTTGTAATCAGTGTAACTGCATCTATTACACATTTTAAAATTTAAAACACACATTGAAATTGTTGCATTGTGAGCTCATCAGCACCAATCTATTTCAGTACCCTGCAAAACTTTGTGCAGAAAAAACCACCACAGATTACATGGGTGCATCCTTTACTATAGATACTAAAGAATGCTTAGCTATTTTTCAGCCAAATATGTATTAATGAAAGTTCAGATGTTTAAGTAAACTGATGGCTGATCTGGAAAAAAAATCACATTGTTTTACTAGTGATTAAAACCCAGGAAAAGCACAACCAGGGAAGAACTCCACAGTGTGGTTAGACTTGTCACCCCCTAGACTGCCATGGACCATAGCACACTGAGACGGTGAGAGCATTGCTCTTAACCTACGAGTAGTCTTTGCATCTATATTTCCCAAATTTTCCACTGTAACACTGAGATAAAACCAGCAATTACCAGCTAGGATGTCAGCCTCATCCACAAACTGAGTACTAAAGAGGATCACGCGATGTGCTCTATGTTCCTTCAGGAAATTCCACACTTGATGTCTTGAAAAAGGATCCAATCCAGCAGTTGGTTCATCTAAGAGCAAAACCTACAGAGGATAAGGAGATACAAAATATGTCTCTTCCACATTAAGTATTTCCACATGATTCCATGGAAAATAATACAAATCAATTAATACTTAGTTACTTATCTCCAATTCTTCTTCATAGTTAGACATATCAAGTTCTCTCCTGATACACTACTATAAAAGTTCTACCACTTTTAATGGTCAAAGTCATGACTGACATTAAATCTGTTTTCCTCTGTATGCATAATACTTACTCGAGGCTCTCCTAAAATGGCAATTCCAAAGGTCAACTTTCTTTTCTGTCCTTCACTTAAGTCTTTAGCAAAGTTATTCTGGATATTTTGCATGTCCAATTCCAGTAAAATTTGTTGTACCTATATGAGAAAATATGATTCTTAAAATACAAAATGATCCATATTATGCAATTTTAACTGCCCACTGAAGCAGTATGTACTTTTTATAGGACTTCCTTGTCCAAGTTTTATTCATAAAAAACCAGATAAGTCACTGAAGAGAATGCTGTGGTCATGATTTAGCTTGGAAAATGACTGACAGTTCAGATAATCCAAATATGCTCATCTACCTTTTGTTCCACTTCCTGTGGATGAATCCCTTTAACTTTAGCAAAAAGACTAAGGTTTTCCTTCACTGTGAGTATATCGAATTGCACATTATATTGAGGACAAATACCAATCATCATTCTGATTTCTTCCAAGTCTTGTATTTCAGAGATGTTTTTATTATAGACAGTAACTGATCCTAAGAATAGAAGTTAAAAATAATTTAATGTTGGCAAGATAATACACTTTTCACAAATATATAAAATGATAATTTTATAAATTTAACTACTAATTATGATTGACATAAGTGTATATTTATAGTATTGCACATTTCTTCTATAATATCACTTAATGGAATAAAGATGATTTTCATGAAAATTGAGGAAAAATGAAATACAGTAATACTTTGGTTCATGAACACTTTTGTTCAAGAACAATTCCATTTGCAAACAGAAGCATTCAGCAAAAATTTGCTTCCACTCACAAACCACTTCAGGTGATGGACACAACAGCCATCTTCCTTGGATAAACACTAACATGACCATCTTCCCTAGAATGGTGGAACGAATTAAGTTCATGAACCAAGGCACCACTGTATATTTAAAATCATACAGTTCTGGGAAACAACTTTAGAAAACCATTTCTTTGAAGCCATTCAATTTAAAATGAGAGAAGCATACCTATCATTCTATCATCAGATATCCTGCCTTCGAGAAATTTCTTTCTGCTTACCTTCTGTTGGAACAGACAATCCATTAAGAATGTTTAGTAAAGAAGATTTGCCAGCTCCACTGTGCCCCAAAATTGCTGTGATTTGACCTTCATATATGTCAAAGTGTAACCCTGTTTTTAGTATAAGATAAATAGGAAGGCATTAGATAAGGCTGGTCCTAAATACAGAAGTTAAGTTACTCAATATTTTACATAATATTCAAAATTGTCCTAATTGACAAAATAACACTTGAAGAACTATAATAACTTAGACAACGTGCTACTGATTCTTGACATTGGTGAAATATGTATATATATATTAAAATAGTATGTTATTGGTGCAAGACAGTGACCAAAGGGTTAGAAGTCTAAAATGGGAGGTCTGTGCATGCCCTACCGAGGTCCTGGGTTGCACAGAACACACCAAATCAGCCCGCTGCAGACAGGCGGGTTTGTGCGAGCCCTACCGAGGGCCTGAGTTGTGCGGAAGACGCTGAGTCACCCCGCTGCAGACAGGCAGCCACCTGGTTCCACACTACAAAGATGCAGACGCAGAGGACACCAGACCACCAGACCAAGGTACTGAGTCCTGCTGCTCCTGGTCCAGAGGAAGGGGCTTCCTGGTCACCATCCTTCCCGCTGCTCCCAGCCCAGAGGAAAGGGTATTTGGGCCACCTTCTGTCCCGCTGCTCCTGGCCCAGAGGAAGGGGCTTCCGGGCCACCATCCCTCCCACCA